GCTGCATTGGAGATCAACTCACGCAAAAAGACCTGCTTGTCTGTGTATAACGAGTTGATGATGATATCCATCAAACGGTTCACCTCAGCCTGAAACTCATGCTTCTCTGATGACTCAGCCATCTTGGCCCTGTCATTGTCACTGAAGCCATCGACCACCTTCTCAGCCTCAGCCTCTGCCTCTTCGGCACCAACCAAGCTGCTGCCTCCAGACTGTTCTTGTTTGAAGAGTCTTTGGTTGAATCAGTGCGTCTCTGATTGGAAACAAGCTCGAAAATGAACCCAAGCCTGCTGCCACTAAGGCCAAGAATGCCCACACTCGAACCATGACCTAAGTAAATGACCAAACAACTTGTCTTGCTTGAAAGAGAGAAAGACACAACTTGGACATACTTGCACACATGTCGCTGAGCATCTGGCAGCTTGTGGGAGGACTCAGACAGGGTTGTTCTGAGCAAAACCTTTGAGCCCCAAATGCCCATGCAGCAGTGCATGTTTCACGATCATCTGATGTCATCAACCATCCTAGGCTCTAATTAGCTCCGCAAACAAAACGAGCCGTCAGACAGCAACTGTTGGCTCAAACAATTTTCCTCCATCATTCACTTTGTTCCAGGACCAGGGATGATTTCCCCAGATGGAAAGGCTTTCCTTGGCAGCAAGTGCACTGTGAGCAGGGCCCAGGTTGTATGAAGCTAGGAAAGGTAATACCAAGCCAAGGATCACCTCACCATCAGCTAGGCGAAGCAATATGAGCCCGTCATCCTGTGAGAAACAAAGTTCATCAAAATGATATGGGGCACAACCTAAATTCCCTTGTGAGCACGCAGCCCTCCTGAATGCCTTCGAAGACACCTGGCTCATGGAATACTTTGCGAAAGCAGCTGTGGCATTTGGCTAAAGGATGCTTCATTCACAGTTTTCATGGCTGTCCTCAACCACGTTCCCCACATCATCATGACCCATGGCTCTTGCAATGACTCTTGCATCATCTTGCATCACCCATGGCTGTCCGACCTTCGAACTCATCAGACTCATGTGCTCGAAACCACACCTGTGGCCAGCGGATCAAGACGAGCAAGAGAGATGGCGTCCAACCTGCTTAACGACCGACCATGACCGACGGATATCGAGTACGGATATGGCGTGACCAGCTTTTCGGCCCAAAACCCACGTGGCAACCACCTTGGTCCCCATGAGGACTTCGAGGCTGTTGACTCGTTCTCGGAACACGGCGAAGCCACCCGCGAAGAACCTGGCGAGTGAACTCGCCACATGAGCACGGCGGCACCCGCGGCTTGGTCGTGAAAAAAGGGCTAGCAACCTGTCTATCTCTCAGAAGATATGGTGCTCAATGGTGCTCTTTGTCAAGTCAGCTGTGTGGATCATTGAGAAATGGAATCGTCAATTGGTTGGCCACTCTTTCATTCCAGATCCCCATCTTCAGTCAACAAGCAGAGACCCATCAAAAAGACAGAAGGTCTGTCAGACAAAGCTGAAAGCTCCAACGACATAAGGAGACCCAAGTCTTCCGAAACCTGTTTTTGCGCGCTAAATGATTTTCCTTGTCCATTGACCAGTAGATGAAAACTCATTGCAAGTGGGATTGGGACCTAGATCCAAGCTGCAGTCCTCGAAATATGTCGATTGAATGTCTAGCTTTGCCTCCATCATCTTGGTCCCAACCTTTTGCCTCACATCACATGTCACCGGACTGTCAACGTTCATCCGATCTCTTTCCGGTTTCCCTGTCCGGGTCCGGTCCCTTGCGCTGCCTCTGCAGCTCCATGGCGAAGCCTCCCAGCAGCTTTCGCCGCAGCCGCGGCACGTCGAAGCGCTCTCCGTGGAGCGTCAGCAGCGAGGCCGCCGGCCACACGGGGCGGCGGATCCTCAAATCTGGAAGGGCGAGCGAAAGAGGAGGGTGGATTCATGGTCAAGTGAAAATGAAGCATAGGGCATCGCTACTAGGAGCAAAGGACGCTACTAGGGGCTCCTGGCCGTACTACTAGGAGCAAGAACGCTACTAGGAGCAAAGGGCATCGCTACTAGGAGCAACGGCGCTACTAGGGGCTCATTAGATCGCATAGGTCATGGTCAACACGTGCACGATTCACAAGTCTGTCTACTGCGTGTCCTTGTCGACTGAATACTGCTACCAAATCTACCATTCCACCAATTCCACCTACCAAATCGTCTATATGCGTGCTCATTTAGTGCTTCTTTTCAAGATTTTTCAAGTATCTGTCAACCGATGCCCAAATCAGCAGCGGCGGATGCTGATGCAGTCACGAGACCGATCCAATTCCTCTTGGGATGTGTTCACCTCACAAAGCGATACATGGCGAAAACGTGGCCGAAAACGAGCCGTTCTGATCGTCGTTCCTTCCAATTCTTCGTCGTTCTGATCGTCGGTCCATCGAGTCTCCGCCAATCTCGGGTCCGGACATTGATTCCAATGCCCACAATGATGCCTTCTAAACGGCCATTAAAGGGCACAGCGCGGGCTAAAATGCCACCCACCTTGCAACCTGTCCGACACTCTTATGAGTGCGTGTTCAAGAAAGAACAGAAAAAGAAAGCCGGAATTCATAACTCTTGGCCAAAAAGAGCGAAAGCACATGTGCCTGAGCAAACTACATCATTTGGCCACTTGATCCCAAATGTGTGATCTGTGGCCCATTCAAGTGTGTCTACCGCAGAGACAGCCAAGACTTTGGTGACATTGGGCGCATTGGAGTTCACGAAGTCCTGAGAACCCAGGTCGAAAAACGTCCCAGCGACGGTTCCGTCACGGTTTGACCGTCGTGAATGCCCGAGGTCGCGTCGTTGTCACAGTGGGCTGGGAAGCGAAAGAAGAAACTCACCATGATGCTTTGAGCCTGAAGTCGCCAAGTCGGTACGAACAGGAGTGCTCCGTACTACGAAAGGGAGGAAAAAGACAAGTGTGGAGGTGGAGCTTTGATCCGACGCGGGGCATGATCCACTTGAACATCTTGGAGGTCTTTGCTAGTAGGTTAGAGGCCATTGCTAATAGGTTTGATCCACTTGAATGCATCTTCCGCTTTGGGTACGTTCCTGTTTGGTCTCACAGTTTGGGGCCTTCGGAGTTACACAAAAAGGGGAGGGCTCCGACTCTGCCTTCTCGCCATGCCAGGATCGATCTCCTGTTCCCCTTCCAGCGCTTTGAAAGTCTGCACTCACAGCAGTAAGCTTCTCCTAGCACCACTACTAGGAGCAAAGGGCATCGCTGCTAGGAGCAAGGACGCTACTAGGCCTTACTACTAGTGTAGATACAGGTAAACGACCGAGAACTACCAACAAGTCGCACCTGGTTTTCCTTGAGCCAAACGGTAGGTAAGTGAGACATGTATACGACATCCTAGCGTGAAACAACACCCCCCGCTGAACGAAAATGGGAGGAGTGAAGTTATGTACAGTGCACTAATTAAGGACCTACGAAGGTACCCGGTCCCCCGGTACGTGCGAAGCATCGGACCGGAACGCGCCTTGAGATGGAGAGGATGGTTGACCTCAAGGACGGATCACATAATGCACTGTCATGCTTTGATGCTAGGGTTGAACATGTCTCAACTAATTCATGCATGAACGTTCAAAGCAAGCTCACAAAGATAATCTCTTTTGCGCAGCGGAACTGGGAGTGCAATGCCAACCTTTTAGAAAGCAGGAACAAAGCCATCAAGGCACACGCTCCCGCGTGGCGACAAAACACAACAAAAGATGTGCGCTCTTCATTGCAAGGATTGAGAGCCAAGTTCATCGACCTGAACTCAAACGAATTAGCTGCTGGTTTCAGGCAACCGGTCCCCCGGTGCATCACAGAAACGGTCATCCAGGCAACCGCTCCCGCGGTGCGTTGAGGGAAAAACACAGTGCACAAAGATAGCCGAGTCACCCGTAGATTTCATTCTCTTCTCCACAGGCAACAGCTCCCGCTGTGCGTCGTGTTCACCACCTGCGCTGACTCCACCAGTCATGTCCTCGCCAGTCACTGCCACGACCGCGGTCATCTTGCCACCAGTTGCGGTTGGATGAGGACCACCAGGAAGACGATGAGGATGACTGCTGCCAATCATGGTATTGATCACTTCCAGCAGCTCCTCGCCAGCGTTGCTCTGATGTCTCGGCTTGAGTACGTGTTGCTCTGGCCAGACTTTCACCTGGACCTGGTGCGGCCTTGGTTTTGGGAATCACAAGTGCCCTTGTTTCTTTCACAAGGTTGATATCCAAGCCAGGTACAAATTGAGCATCGCCCATCACGAATTCCAGGAGTTCATCCAATACATCATCAGGGTCTGTCTTCTCACTTCGCCACTCACCTCCAAATCCCAGGATTGCGGGTCGTTTCGCACCTTGACAATAGTCCGCAGCGAAAGTCTCAGGACGGTGCAGCCTGTTCTTCCAATAAATGAAGAAGTCCTCGCTCAGGTCAGCATCATTCCCTTTTGCTGGTTCGTTCATGAAGATGACTTTACCAGCGTATCGATGACCGACGCCACGAGCAATCATTTCCCTTGTCCTCGGAGGGTCAGGGATGATGGCATCTGATAGTCGTTCCAGGAATTGAATGCAGATTGGAGAGAGGTCCTGGGCTGCACAGTTGAACGCGTAGAAAGCGTCAGTCAGCTGTCGCTGCGATACTGTCATGGACATTTTGTCCGCCTTCTGGACATGGCTTTTGGCGTTCGCTTTCAAGATGTTGATGCCCGAACGAGAAGCACGTTGAACTTCATGGCCAGGCGTCCCCGCCGGCGTCCTCCTCACACCTGTTCCTTGCAGCCTGTCCTCAGGTACCATGTCCATCGTGACTTCGATACCGAGATCGGCTGCAATTTCCTCAATCCGGATGAGCTGAGCAGCTTTGCACAGATCCGAGGCATTGTTGAGGAAGGTGCCGCGTGCGATGCAGGACATCATGCCATGGGTGTAGGTATTTGCGCATGTCGGGCACTGATCTTCTGGCATCTGAATGCCCTCAACGACCATCCATCGAGTGTTGCCATAACCCTCAGTCTCGGGGTGGATCTTGCGCCAATCAAACCGAGGTCGGTTGTAGTTGGGCAGCATCTCTTTGGGCGACACCTGGTTCCTATAGGCGTTGAAATTGGGCCTGCGAACGACATACGTGACCTCGTATGTTTCCAAATCAGGATTCTGCTTTCCTGATATCATTTGGTCTTTCACGCCTGGGCGTTCAAACAGTTCACCGTACACGAATGGGGAAAAAGTGTCCACCTTACCACACCACCTCTCATAGTCACCAAGGACCTGGTAGGTGTACTTTTCCAGTGGGCTTTTCACCATTTCATCGTCATCGGCAACTGGTCCCCCAGTGCGTGCTGAATTGAAGGCTTTTGTTTCACCGGTAATGATGCCGCGATAGTGTGCGTACACATGGTTCGCGAAGGCGTAGCATCGGGACTCCATGTCATACACGTAAATCACGTTCCGGTTTGCCAGCCAGTCAGGGCATAGGATTGTACCAGCAGTTGTTTCTATGAGCCGGTGCCCGTTCAAAATCATCATCTGGAGATCCAAGGCAACGCAGATGGGGCGAGTCGCCGCCATCGCTGCATAGTCAGTGCCCGAAATTGTCCACGGATCTTCCTTCGTCAAGAATGTGAACCTGGCTCCAGTTCGATTGCCGCCGGGAATCAATCCCATGTTGATGATCTCAACCAGTGCTGCCCGGTGCGTGTAGTGATAGAGGATGGTGGGGGCCACCTCCTTCACCTTTCCCAGCGCACCTCGCGGAACCCGAGGGAATTTGCCGGCCAGGTACTCCACCGAAGTATACTCCTCATCGAGAGTGACAAAGCGTTCATGCTCAGGAAGTGCGTCCTGCACGTTGTTGCTTGACCATTCATTATGGTTCTGAATCGCTTTGATCCGGAGAGGTGTATATTGGTATTTTCCACCGACCAAAGTCCCCTTTGGCGCAATCCTCACCTCGAGCATGAATCTGTGATTGGATGTAATGACCGTCAGCAGTTCATCGTTGGTAAGGTTGACATCGTACTTCCGCTTGATGAACGAGTACACCTTGCCAAAATCCATCCACAGCCCAGCGTCGAAGCTCGGAGGCTACACCTTGTGCCAGGATTGTTTACTATGCTCCCACCCTCGGAGCAAGCCCGAGACGCGTCGGGAAATCCAGACTTGTTTCGAGTTCAGGTTCGCCAAATTGGCAGCACCCGGAACCGATCTTGACTGCAACGCCACAACTTCGTTTTCCCCAAGAGGCGACGAAACGGGAGGCACCGGTGGTGCCCGAGGCATGGCCTTGGCTTTGACAGCTGGTTTTGCTGTTGGGGTCGAATCCGAGGCCACAGCTCCCCCCGGGCGTTTTGGTACTTTGGGCTGAGTTTCCTCTGTTGGCTTCATTTCAACATCGGCCTCAGCTCCCGCTGGGCGTGCTTTTGCCTTCGGTGATGCCGGTTTTGTTTTCGACTTTGCAGTCTCGCTTGGCACTTTTGGTGCCCTCGGCTCACCTGACGCCTTCGCCTTTGGGATCCTCGGTTGTGGTGCCTTGTTGGCCAGGTCGGGCTCGTTCCCCAGAGTTGTAACCTCACGGAACTTCCTGAGTGCCTCACCAGTGAGCTGAGGGATGTCTTCTTCCGCCATGTAGATGCGAATGACATCGCTTTCATCCTCCTTCTTCCTCAACTGGTAGGTTACCCCGGCGACCTGACATGAATCGGCATGCATAGATGTGAGAATCGGTTCCTTGAATACGATCTCCTCATCTGAGTCATCATCTGGCTGATCTTTGTTTTCAAAGCCTTGTTTGATGGCGGAGTCAAGGTGATCTTTGAGAAGTTCATTGACATAGTTTTCATCCGCAATGGGTTCATTGGATACATGAAGCTCCTCTTCTTCCGTGACGGTAACAGGGTCCACCTCGGTGTCACCGTGCTTTGGCATATCAGCGGTGACGGACACGAACTCCATGCCCGGAGTGCTCACGGGAGCCTGGTTGTTTGCATCTCGACCTTCCGTCCCCGGAGGCGAATCAGCGCTGGGCGCAAAGGTGTCGTCAATCTCGATGACTTCCGGCACACTTGCATCCGGCATTGTCTGATCAGCCTTCGACGGTTCAGCCGGGACTTGCACATCCTGACCCTCGTCATAGAAATCCGGACCAACGGTTCCCCGTGGCATATTGTAAAGTCGCTGATTGAATGGCAAGAGCTTGGCAGCTTCAATCTGCTCCTTAGTCGCGTAGACGGGGTCCCCAAGATCATCCATGTGAGCGACCTCGGTAGTCTCAGAGACCGTCAGGAGCCAGCCATTCTTTTGGTCGATGGCAGTCTGCCTCTTTTGACCCGGGATAAGCTCATCGTGCTCGTCAAAGTCACCCAAGAAGAGGTACCCGGAGTCAATGCGTCGCTTCCAGATGTGCTCAAGCATATACTGGCGGTGGGTTTTCTCCCCACGAGGTTTCGCGAAGAGGTTGGCATCTTTGCGCAACACATCAACGCCAGCGAGCACCCAATAGTGGTAGGCAAACAAAGCAACGTTTGCGTAGTACTTCACGAACATCGCCCGGTTCTCCTCGGTGTTGTGGCAGTGGAAGTTGTCATACCTCTGACACGATCGAACCAAGGTGGTGCCTGTCACATTCGTGACGCCAAGGCGAGTGAAGACATCCGCTGACTGGCACATTTGACGGGCGTATTCTTCCGGCAGTCCATAACTCTGCGAGTCGCAGTAGCAGATGACAATCAGGGCTGCCACATCTTTCCTCTGCCTCAAGTCCGCCAGACGCCTCATCTGCTGAGCGTGTTTTTGTGCCAGCTCTGCCTGCCACTCATAGGCTGCTCTCTGCTTGGCAGGATTCCGGTGGAGCACGTTGGTGTCCACCCAAGGATTGCCCACAAATCCGTGGTTGCCGTAGACATCATTGCCGGCATATGATACCACGATGACCGCTGGGGCAACACCTCCCGGTGTGCGACGCCTTCCGTTGTCAAGACAAGCCTCTATTCCGTCAATGATCGCTTCCAGGCCACGGCCCCAATGCAGGCTGTATTGGACACTACCTGCGCGATCCGTCAGGAGTGACGGTCCTGCCTCCTTCAGGTATTCGCCCACGTTGCGCTTGACGCGCGTGGTCTTGCCTTCAGAATCCACAGTTTCACCCACAAGTGCCATTGACGAGTCGCCGGCAAAAATGAAGTCGACCACGGGTCCCCCCG